TAGAAGTCCCTGCTCCAGGGTGATTGTGTGTATGTGTGTGTGTGTGTGTTAGAAAAACCAGATTGAAGGCCCTGCCCCAGGTCTGCTTCAATCGGAGGGAGAAGCGGGTGGGGGTGGGGGGTAAGAGGGTAACCTTCACACAGCCACCCTATTCTTCCCCTACTTCCTGGTCAGCACGAAGCAGCCCTTGTTTCTGGGGCCAAGAAGGCCTCCCTCAGGGTAGAGGGGGTGGCCCGACGCCATCACCAGCCACCCTTCTCTCTTGAGACACGGCCTGCCTTTCCTTCTGAACTCTGGCAGCTGTGCCTGCAGGAAACTTGCCTCTGTGGCTCTGGGGACACCCCCACCCCACCTCTGGGGCGTCTTTCTGAACCCCACACCTCTCCCAGCATCCCTCCCCACTCCCCTTTGTCCACATCATGCCGTGTCGGGCGGGGGTTCACAGCTTCTGGGGTTTGGGGCTGGGGGTTTCCTCTAAGGCATTCACAGCTTCTGGGGTTTGGGGCTGGGGGTTTCCTCTAAGTCTGGGCTGGAGGGAGAAGAAGAGCCAGGCCTGACACCAGACCTGGCTTCCAGCCTTTGCCTGTCAGTAGCCCGTATGTGGGAGCCTCCCGGTGGCATCATGGTTCACTAGTTGGTTAAGGGGTTGGGCTTTTGACCATAAGGTCAGCTGTTGAAAACCACCAGTTATGCTGCTGGATCAAGACCAGGCTTTCTACTCCTGTGGAGACTTAATGTCTTGAAAACCCACAGGGATGGCTCTACTTTGTTCCTACGGGGTTGTGCTGAGTTGGACTTGCCTGGAGGGCAGCGGGTTTGGGGCGGCAGTGAGGAGAGGCCCGAGGGGCCCTGGTGGCTCAGGGGGTTATGTGTTGGGCTGACAACCTCAAGGTCAGCAGTCTGAACCCATCAAACTGCTTCTAGGGAGAAAGACGAGGCTTCCTACTCCTATAAAGAGTTGTTCGTCGTTGGGAGGCGCCATCCCGTCCTGTCGGTTCTGGCCCATAGGGACCCGATGCAAGGTGTCCTGTGCCACCCGGACCATTGTTCCCGGGCCTGTGACATTCTGGCAACCACGGTGTCCATCCGTCTGGTTGAGGGGCTTCCTCTTTTCCGTAGCTCCTCTACTGCAGCCGTAGCATGTCCTTCTCCAGGGACCGGTAAAGAGTGATGGTCTCGGAAGCCCCCAGGGGCAGTTCAACCCTGTCCTACGGATGGCTGTGAGTCAGGGCCGATGGCAGTGCGTTTGGACTTAGTTCTGGAGCCGCGTCCAGGGAGGACCCTGAGCACAGAACCACTGAGGTGCTTCCAGCACTGTCTAACTTCCTTTGGCTCCTCTCTCGAGGGGTAACCCCCTTTGAAAGATGGGGAGTCTGAGCCTAAGAGGCCGGCCTGAGGTTGCTTGGCGAGGGGCTGGGGCAGGTAGGACATCCACCAGGGGCAAGGGATCAGTGTGCACTGCTCACCCAGGCCTGATGGCCCTTCAGCCTTGACCTCCACTTGTGACAGCAGAGGCCAGCCCAGTTGCCTTTCAGAGATCCTGTTCTTCCAACCCCGCTGGGCCTCCCGGTTCCTTCCCTTCCTGGGACCTCAAGCCAATGTCTCCAGCACAGGGCAGGGCATGTTTACCCCGAGGGGGTCTCGGGGGCCCGAAGGGGGCAGTGGCAAAGGAGGGCTCTCTCAGGGTCTTGAGCTGACCATCCAGGAAGTCGTGGTGCTAAGAGTGAGGGGTAGGGTGGGGTTTGTATTTTCTCTAGCCATGCGGTGGTTCCTGGCAGCTCCTGGCCAGCCTGTCCACCTCCTCAGTGATCAAGCAGGGGTGTGTGTGTGTGTGTGTGTGTGTGTGTGTGTGTGTGCCCCCGTGAGCGTGTGTGCTGGAAGCATCCTTCCTTAAGACTTCTGGGGGTCCTGAGCCCTTCCACCCTACCTCCTGCAAGGGTTTGGCCCACCCAGGAACTCACCCCTCCAGGCTCGTGGCTCTCAAAGGTTAGCCACGCCAGAACGACCAGGAGGGCTTGTGGGAGCAGAGGAATGGTTGTCACCCTCTGGCCCCCATCAGGCTGTCTGCTTCAGCACAGCTGAGGAGACCCTGGGAATTTCCACTGGGTTATGAGCTATGCTGGGAAGAGCAAGGTCAGCAGTTTGAATCCACCAGCCATTCTTTAGGAGAGAGATGAGGCTCTTGACTCTC